CGGCTTGTGATTCTTCCAGCCTGGCATTTCTCATCATGTACTCTGCCTATAGGCTAAATAAGCAGGGTGACAGTATACAGCCTTGTCGTACACCTTTCCCTATTTTGAACCAACTTCTTGCATTACGTACTCTTAATAATGCCTGGGAGCTAATGGTTAGAAACAAATTTGGCATTTTCTATATTGAAAATATGCAGGGATATTATGCAAGAACATTTGTTTCCTAAACTGGATCCAGAGGCATATGCAGTCCAAAAACAAGCACAGGGAGTATATCAAAGCCCTCAGTGTATATCTGCTATTTGTTTTGTGCTAGAAAAAAAGAAACTTGGGTCTGCACATCTAGCAAACAGATACTGTATCCTTCCAGTTCAAGGTTACCCTCCATGTTGAGTCCTAGTAATTTAATCTAAATTCTTGGATTTATTCTAACTCTCTTTAAATTCCAGTGTCATAGCATGCCCTTTGTATTCACCTTTCCTAATTATCTTGAACAACATCTGCGTTGCAGGCCTATGATAGGGAAATTTCCAGCCTATGTTGTCTGGATTGTGCTACATGGAAAAGTCTCATTTGTTTGCACTGCTTCCAGCTAGTTGGATCTAGAGGTATGCCAGGGGAAAACATTCTTGTAGCCATGGTCTTCAGCTTGCAGAAGGCTGTACAAGAGACAGTAAAGAATACCTCATGATATTGTGTAATTCTTTGTGCTAATCTGCCCCTTAAGATATTGAGCAAGGCTTTGTGAGAACAGACCTTGGGAAGTTGAAAATTGGCTTGTGGCAGCAAATGTGGTGCCCAAGAGATGGTGCAACACCTTCTGCTAGCGTGCATCTTAAAATACTGGGCAGGTCCTTGGTGTGGCATGAATCTTGAGAGATTGGCCAAGGTCTTTTGCATGCCTAGTGCTAAGTGAAGCACAGCACTGTTTTTTAATTCTCATTTCTCATGCAAAGGTCTTGTTCTAATTGGGAAATTCCTTCCATTTATGGAGGGGCTGTCCTCTATTGGTAGGGTACCTCTGGGCCCAATGTTTAGTAAGAATAACTTCTCACTATAAATACACATGATTGTATTCTTACTCTTGCTACTATCTGCTATGGCTGCCTGACGACATTCATAGTTTTCTTTTAGTGCAAAAGCATGCAGAGGGAATAGCTTGACCATCATACACAAATACAGCAAAGCCTATCAATAGCCTCCCCATAAGTTAAAGCACCAGGTTTCCCAAATGTATTTTGTAAGCACATTAAAGTGATTAAAACAGATTTTATCTTAATAAATAGCAGCATATAAAGTTAGGGATCCTAATGCCCAGTATTATTTTGATAAGAGATACTATAAAAATAAGCATGATCTTTTTTTTCAGTACAAGGCATTTATAATGTGTAATAGAGGAAGCGGAAAGAATAGTTCAAGCAAAACCAGAACGATAATGATTGTTGTAAAAACCATTGAAAGAATATGAAAGATTGTTGTAAAGATCATTGAAAGTCATTTTTTCCTTTCTTTCCTTTCAGGAAACAACTGCGATATTCAGTGTCTTGAAAAAGTCCATAGTTTGGAAGAGCGACATAAGAAGTGGGGTTTAGATTATTTATGGGAGGTTTTATACCTGATCATATTGAAAGAGCCATGATGACCCCCTAGACTTTTAAATACTCTCAGAGGATGAGGAGGACCACTTGGTTTCCAGACACCATAATATTTCTGGTCTGAGGATCAATCATTCTCAAGATACTTCCTTCAATTACTGATATCTCTGATGGCAATTTATTTGAAAATTCCCTTTGCAAATAAACCTATGTTGTTAAAATAGAATCCCAAGAGTTACATCAGGATTTGGGTTTTCTTCCCATCAACCGGGTGCACATTGATCATCAGCATTATGCCAAGCTAAATAAATAAGTAATTGCATTACTGGCTGGAAAAGGTTACTTTGGCTGTAGGATGTTCCATGAAATGTCTACCTAGAGACCTCCTACTTGATGTGTGTTTGCTGCCTTTTGTGGTATTTCCTCCTGATCCACTGCTTGCTGCATGGCACACAGGTTTTCTGTTTGCACTAAAGACTGTACAAGATAAAGATTTCACTCAAGTCAAGTTTCAGGTTGGATGACTCCATGGTTGAGTGTGTGTAGTTTTTGTGACAAGGATTCAGAAGAAGTTCTCCACAGTTGCTTTCCAAGATTTTTTTTTTTCAAACACTACTGGAAGATCCTGATGGTCTCCTATCCAAGAAGCAGCAAAGATCAGCTTGGGGCTGGTATCTGCTATGAGGAACAAGTACAGCCAGGGCAATCTGAGGCAGTGAGAGAATATGCCGACATGCAATTCCAGAAGTTAGAATCATAGAATTATCAGCCAGTTTGTGCAGATTGTTTTTTTCCCCCTGCATACTATTGTGAATATATTTTTTAGCAGTGGTAGGCATGACAAAAGTTTGGCCTTGTTTAGGAGGATGAGTCATTTCCTGAAGCAGGAAATCACCAACTGGGGGAGGGAGAGATAAATAATAAATTATTAACAAGGCTTGGGAGACTTTAAACTCCAGTACGTTCTGCTGATACCATCATGCTTGGCTGTTACACCATCCTGTCTGGCAAAAGAGAGCACAGTATACCAAAAGCTGATTCATACTTTGTGGGGCAATTCTATTTGTCAGAGCTACAGCCCATAGCCAACACATAGGCACAGTCTCTGTTGGTTTGCCCCAAACATTGTTTACCAGTTCTTTACTTGAAAATACTAGATAGTGGTTTACGAAAGGTTTGCGGCAAATGAGACCTGCTCACAGGTTTACAATCTGAAAAGCACAACCTAAAAAGATAAAAGACAGGAAGAAGACGACAAATGCGGGCATGAGTTTTTAAACTGGAAGCTCCTTGTAAGTGGAAAAGAAATAATACATGGAGAAGGGGAGGCAAATGCAGCTAGTTTCTCAATGGAAGGATGATTACATAAAAACATCACTGCAGACATTGTAGGGCATGAGCCCTGGTACTCTATGGTAGCCCAAAATCAGACTCTCATAGCACCTTTTAAAACAGATTTTATTATAAGGCATAAGCCTTTGTGAGCACTTGGCACATGGGATGAAGTCAGGTGGAGTTCACAAAACCTTTATGCCTTATAATAAAATGTTAGTCTTTTAAGAAATGTACTACCAGACTGGATATGTTATGAACTTTACTCAGTCAAGTCTATTAGGAAACATTTGTTTCTCTTGCTTTATTTCACGAAACAGTAGTAGAGACGTCACAGCAAATATGTAAGAGTGATGTTCTGATCTGCAATCAAAGAAAATAGGAATAGCTCAAACCACATGCTTTATAACCACTCCAGCACCATAATAGTAAATGGTCATTGATAGTCTGTTTGGTTTGCACTGCTATGCCACAAACAGAGGAAGAAAGGTAGCTAAGAGACCATTGTTCTGGTGCAGTGAACAACCAAACTAAACTATAAGCTAATCCCAAACCAATCATTGGCATTTGTACATGGGCAATGTATTTCACAGGGTGGACCCAGGTGGGGTTCTTCCCTCTTTAGTCAGTTTAGGGGACATATAGGGTAGCTCCTTGCTTAACTGGCTATGACCTTGCCATCTTTTCCATCCACCCCATAAGTGAAATCAGGGATGGAGATTAGACACTATTTGAAGGTGTTGGGAGGGAATTTCACCCATAAAAATACCAGGTTTTGCTTACGGTATGTACTGCCTTGTTACCATTACTGCATCTCTGTAGGTGGCATCAAGATCATCAGATACATTTCAGGGATAATTGGTTATAGTACTCTATTCTCCCCAAATGAGGACCCCAGAGATCTATTAGGGGTGAATATACCCAAGTAATAGGAGATGCCTATGGTAGCTTCTGCTACAATGGTAAGTCCACATCTCTCGCAACTGCCAACAGCAATCTGCCACATTGGATGGATAGCAAATTCAACTGCACATTGCCAATTCTTTCTTGTCCTCCAGAATTAGCCACTGAAGGCACCGGAATGAGAAAGCCAGTATCATGCTGAAACTATGCATGCCATTGAGAATAAAAAATAGTTCCCTGTTTTAATCTAATCCTAGCAGTGAGTGGTTACTGCTTCCTAGCCTGTTCTCTCTCCCTAAAAGGCACTCTGGGTGCCATGTAAACATCTGTGATTACGAAAGAAAGATGATTTGTCCAATTATCTCGTATATCAGAACACTGATATACAATGTTCATTCATTCACTGAATTGTCTTTCTGCCTAATCTGTTGCATAAAGGAATCCAGAGCAGCAGTTCCCTTGATGTCTGTCCTTGCAGGCTTTTTTCCTAGAAGTATTCACTGCATGGGGACATGATGGGACTTTAATCGTATTTCAGAATAATGATTCAGGACTGACCATGTGGCAGATACCCAGCAGACAGAATAGCTAGTAGGCTGAAGAAGAATGGTTGGAGAGTTGACACTGCTGACTGACACAGGGGAATTTGAGCCCACCTACCTCAGGTCATGAGCATGAAACTCAGTAAACTCGGGGAGGCAGTGAAGGACAGGAAGGCCTGGCGCAATATGGTTCATGGGGTCACGAAGAGTCGGACACAACTTAACGACTGAACAACAACAACCTCAGGTCAAGGTGGTTCTGCAGATCCCAGATCCCTGAACCAGATTGTCCTCCTATTCTAACCCTGCCTGCCAATTTAGCAAGACTGGGAGCTTAAAGGTGGTGGACCTGCTTTTACTCTCTAATGTATGCTGCTTCCTAACACAGAAGAACACCAGGAAGCATTACGGCTGCAAATTGTCTTTAGGAAGAGCTTCAGCTAATCGTATAATACCTTCTTCATGCCAACATTTCTTTTATGCTTGCTATAATTTCTTTGGTAGCTAAATTTCTATTTTTGATACTGATCTGCTCTTTAGTGGCCAATCAATATTCTTTTTAAAAACGACTTCCCTTATTATTATAAGTTGTGTAACATAAGGCATCTTGGTAAGTGGAGCTTTGTTTTCCTCACTACAACACAAACTGCAATGTACATTAAGCTATTGAAAGCCCAGGAACTTTGTTCATTCGTTAATTCATTCAGACCAAATTAGATCATGGAGGATCTCGAAAAAGGTGCTAGAAAAACTAAAGGAGGCAGTATCATGGGAAGACTTGCAGGGGTGATAGGGTTCTTGATCTGCCACTAAAGACTCCTTTAAATCAAGCTCAACGTTTGGACCACACAGGTGTAGCCATGTTGTTTTCCTGGCAGCATTACTAAAGTGGTTTACCATTGCCTTCTTCCAATATCTTTTTTTTTTAATTCTTTTTTTGACTTCCTAGTCCAAGCTACTGCCCTGGAATTTTCTGGTTGTCCTTTGTTAGTCATGTTCTTTTGGGATCAGCCAACATCAGCTACGTGCTTCCATCTAGTAATGTCTGATTTTTTAGATTTTTGTTACTTTTTAAAATACCTACCAACTTAGTTGATAGGAAGTATATTTGACGGAAGAGTCTTTTTAGCAAAACTATGAATACAGGTAGTCCTCATTTAGTGACTGCCTCGTTTAACAATCATTTGCAGTTACAGTACAACAGTGATGAAAAAGGAACTTTGCAACCAAATTTGTGACCTTCACAGGCCTGTAAAGCAAAGGAAAGCTGAAGTAAGATCATAAGCACAGTCCCAGTTTCACTTAGCAATCGCTTCACTTAACGACTGAGTTGTGGTCACTATAGAAGGACTACCTGTATTTAGTGCTAATCAGCCAAGGCTGCCAAACCAACTTTCACCCTTCCCTGCTTTATTTATTTTAGTGGACTTTAATCTTATGTGAGTTGTTTGTGAATAAAATCAGACTCGCTAGCCTTACATCCCCAAATTCACTGGAATTAATTGTAAAAGCTACGTTTACATGGAGTGTATTACAATTGTTGAGATTCATCTTTCAGTGATTCAGGTACATAACTCTATCTCCTTTCTCTCACATTACAACTAAAGAAGAAAAATTGAATGCATTAATTATTTGTATCCAGGTGTTCCTAACGCAAGAACTTTTGTGAATGTTTTCCTTTACAGGGATTTTCCTCAAGAGGGCAGCAAACACCAATGCAAGCTTTCATTACAGACTATAGCTGTCAGTGCAATCCGCGGAAAGGCCTCTGAGGTAAGAGGGTCTTGTGACCACACCAATGTGACCAGATGGCACAGCGCCCCCTCCCCAAGCAGCGCAACAATCCTCTTAGAGTTGTAGTAATGACCGCCAACGCCACTGATAAAACAGAAGTAATGACAGAGCTGCTAGATCAGTCTGAGAACAATCTGCTTGAATGCAAAGTGTGCTTTGAAAGATATAACACAGAGAAAAAACATCGACCGAGGAACTTACCGTGCGGGCATGTTATGTGCCTGGAGTGTGTCATGTCTCTGGCCCACCCTCGGAATTTCAGGCTGGAGTGCCCTTTCTGTCGCAGAGCTTGCAAGTCTTCAGAGACCAGTGACTGCTTGCCATTGTTGCACCTGATGGAAATCTTGAGTCCTTCAGCCAGTCAAGCTCCAGTTGCAGGAAGGACAGTAGGGAGAAGGGAAGATGTGGCTGCCCCTGGATCTCAGGTCTTCACGTTTAATCTTTCTTTTGGAGGATGGGGAACGCTGATCAATCCCACGGGGATTGCTGCGTGTCAGAGCTCTAGCTGTTTAGCCGTGGCCCACGATGGCAAGAAAAGAATTAAGCTGTTTAGCTTCAATGGGAACTGCATACAGCAGTTTGGAGAAAGAGGGCAATCAGGAAACGACCTCAGATACCCAACGGATGTTGCAATTACACTGGATGGTCACATCGTCGTCACAGATAGCGGGGATCATTCTGTCAAAGTGTTTGATTTTAATGGCAGAAGCAAGATGGTCATTGCAGAGTCTTTTTCTTTGCCGTGGGGCCTCGATACTATGCCACAAAATGACATAATCATGACCGATGCAGAGGCAGGCGCTCTGTATCGCTTGTCTGCCGACTTTAAAAAGGGAGAGTTAAAGGGCGTGAAAAAGTTGTATTCTAACCTATGCTGCCCAAGGAAAGTGGCTGTTTCGCAAATCTCCGGAGCCATCGCAGTCATCGAACATTTGATGGCAAAAGGGCCGTGCTATGGCAATACCAGACTGAAAATCTTCAACGAAGACTTGCAGCTGATCAGTCAGGTGGACAGCTTTGGCCTGAATCTTGTCTTTCCTTCCAAAGTCCATGCCAGTGCTGTGGCCTTTAGCAGGGAAGGGCAAGTAATAGTAACGGATGCTTATAACCAGGCAGTTTTCTGTCTTGGAAAACCTGAAGAATTCCCTGCATGTAAACCTTTGATAACCCAGGGTCTTTCCTACCCATTGGCATTAACTTTCACAGCAGATAATTCTCTAGTTGTTTTGGATGGTGGCGATCATTCTTTAAAAATATATACCGTTAGCTAAGTGGGAGGGACTGATCTAGCTCACAATTTCAACGAAGCGTATAGAAAGTGCTTAATTTTCCAACTCTTAAGCACTGGTGGGTTTGAGTCTTTTCTAGGCTAGCTATAGTGGAATTCAGTTCAAATGAGCTGAAACAAACTTAGGGCTACAGTTTTATATCTACCTACCTGAATGGAAATCATGTTAACTTATTTCTGAGTAGAACTGTGCTGCAAAATGACCATCCCTCCTAGAATTATTGTAGTGAAATATATGGAGCCATACATGACCTACTTTGAAACTGTATATATTAGGTTCTGGACAGGATGAGTTTCTCTCGGGTTATTGATGGTACAAAGCTAGACTGCTTGATCCCCTACACCAGAAAGTTAGGGTTTCTTAAAACAAAACAAAAGACAACTTCTGCATCAAAAAACAATTCGGATTTATGTTAGTTTTCCCTGATCTGATACCCTCTAGTAATGTGGAGGGTGCCAACCCCAATATTTCTAGCCAGTGTAATTGAGGCTTCTGGAAGGTGACATTTTCACGCATTTGGAAGTTAAGAAAGACTGATTTATAACCAAGATTGACCCAAGAAACATCAGGGAAAATGAGATTTGTTAGTTATCCTGGGAATCGGTGCCTTCACTAAATGTTCTGCGGTATCATCATGCAAAGTATTTGAAGTAGAACAAAACAAGGCAATGGAGTGACATGTTCACAGCTAGTTGAGGCATGAGGATGATTCATTTCCATGCCATTGTGCTAATGTCTGTCACACACCTTGCAACTAGTTAAACTAGTGCGAACCTGCATGTTTGCAAAGTTTTTAAAATAATTCTGTGCCAGCTGCAGTATATCTTTCATAGAATAGACAAGCTTTATTTTTGTTTTACAGTAGATATCACCATCAGTTACTAATTATTTTTCCATATTTATCTATAAAAGGGGTACATATTCAGTTGATTAAATAACATATTTTTCCCATAATAAAATAAGCCAGAATTTTATTGTATTTGTGTAAGATTGCTGTTTAAACCAATTATATGATCAGTGTAAGGGACAAACTACACATTATGCAGAGTTATGTTTTACACTATGTATTCCTTTCTTTGGGTGTGAACAAAATATATAACATTATGCACAGTAATATGTTTCTTTGATGTACTGTATATGTACGTATGTAATGTATATCTAAAAGCATTAACTGTGTATATATATAAGAAACACAAATACACACAGCCTTCAGAACCATGAGTTCCATTTAAATGGGAACAAAAAACCAAAACAAGGAAAGTTTGGCCATTTTCTATGAGGCTATTTTTCTGCTCACCATTGTCCCTTAGGGTTGCTTTCATGCAATGAACATCCAGATAATTTTCTTCAGAGAATAAAACAACTGTTGGAGACCCACTTTTAGTGGGAAAAAAGGCTAATGGAAGTTAAGCATTCTGCGCTCCCCCCCCCATCTTTTCCTTTGAAATGTAACAGTCTCAAAGACCATTTAAAAAAAAAAAAGCAACCCAAAAATACACATGGTTGTAGCTAATATATATCTGACTTAAGCCTAACAAAAAGCGAACATAAGTTTCCTTCAAGATCAACTTTAAATAACTTCATTAATGTACCCATGGAGTTTGGGGGCAAGTAGTTTGCCACTGTCTTCTTCCAGATTTTTTTTTTCCAGTTTTCCAGTTTAGTGTGCAGCTAGGTTATTCTCTGTGATCTACCATCAAAGTACCAACTTGGCCCAATCTTGCTTAGCTACTTGCTTTTTCAGCCTTGACATTGCTAGGTATCTCGGATTCATAACAACAGAGAGCAAACATATTCCTCACGACACAAGACATACTGCTACTGCTGTTTTCTTAACAAGAATATATAAATGATTTTGTGAGATGAACTTAAAGAATCTGTGATAACAAAGTATTTTCCACTCCTGGGGGGTTAAAAAAAATGCAGTGCTTTGTTCATTGGTTAATCTGGTGGAACTTTGATTTTACATAGCATTCTTAGGTAAATTAAAACAGTTACATATGAAAAACTCATGAGAGGCTATAAAAACATCATATTCTTGGAAATCCACATGGAAAAAAAATACTGAGTCAAATTATTGAATTGGGTCCAGAGTTGTTCTGAGTGGAAGAATGAGGGAAGGCAATATTTGCCATTTCCCCATCTTTTCCTGCAGCTCTTATGCCCACAAATATATAATCTGGAAGGCTGGGATGTTCCCTTGAATAGAGAAACAATAAAGTAGAACTCAGGGCAATTTGTGCCCCAACCCCTACTTTCAGAGGAAACTGCTATTAGATCTTGGATCCTTTTGCCAATAGAAGAAAATGTTTTGATTCACCGGAAGCTAATTTCTGGATCCCTCCCATGATTTGTACAAAATTTACCATCTGACATGTTGCAGTTAGAACAGGAATGGAATTAGGATAAAAATAATGTTTTCTTTTTTCCCCTTTGGCTTTTGGAAAAAAAAGTTGGCAGTCAAATATCCTACTTCTGGCAAAAAAAAATATGCTTCATATCAACATGGACATGATACAATGGACTATCAGAAAACTATCTTCATGTTCAATTGCAGAAGTAAAGCTTTAATAAAATATTACAGTGCCTTCCAAAACAGATGGGATGAAGAAGTATTTTTGATAATGTCACTGGCTCCATATACTGAAAGGTAAAATAAAGGTCAACAAATTGATTTCAAGAGGCAGGAGAAAGGTTTGTACACAGTTTGGGCTATTGTATGCATATTGCCTACATCCACAAAAATGTATTGTGGTTATTTTTTAAATAACCTATAAATAACCACAGCAGCATTTGATTCATTTAGTAGCTCCAGGCCAAAAGAGATTTGATGCCAGAGAACTGTGATTGGATGTCTTGAATTTTGTTTTCATTTTAAGTAAGTCATGAGGTTTAATTTTCATACTTCTGCTAGAAAGTCTTTCACTCTAAAAGTCTATACTGTAAAGCAGGGATAACAAAGTGCAGCCTTGGAATCACATTCAGCTTGCCAGCATTCCTATATTTGTGGCTTTCAGAGCCCTTCAGAGTAGGAGGGACCAAAAATATTGGCCCTTTTTAAAAAATTTGGGGACAGGTAAGAAAAAATGTCACAAAGGGGAAGTCCATGCCTCCTACTGAAAACAAATATTTGATGGTTTATTTTATAGACCCCCCCCCCCGTCTCCATTCTCTTCATAGGCCCATGCCAAAGCTCTCAGCTCTTTCTCAACCCCTTGCAAGATAGATAGATAGATAGATAGATAGATAGATAGATAGATAGATAGATAGATAGATAGATAGATAGATAGATAG